GGGGATTGGCTCAACACCTTTTGTATCCAGTTGAAAACACACTTCTGTGAGGATTAAAATTTTTAAAAAAAGTTGATTAAAGGGTTTAAGTAAAAGCACTAACTATTATAATGTCAGTTTGCAGTTCTCAAGTACACTCAAGATTTGTAAGTCACTGAACTTTGCAACCATTTTCTCGCTAATTCTGTTTTTGAAATCAGGCCGCCCCCGTCTACTTCATTTACAAATATTATCTCAACTACTATTCAAGACAGATGAGTATTTCTTTCATCCATACCCCCCTCCCCTTAGTGCGAACAAGCTTTCTGATGATAACAGTAACTTGAAAAGTGTAATTTGCCTTCGACCACGACTACAGTTGCGACCAATGTATTGACTACAGTTTTGCTGTCTCTACGTCTTTGGAATATAAAACAATAATATCTACCAAATAAAGATGAAGTTAATATTAATAAATTCCACTGTATTGGTAATTTGTTTCCCAACAGCGTACATAAACACACAAGTACATCGATACATAAATGCATAAATAATACAGCCGTGATCCTAACACATTTTTCTAACGAAATGAAGCTTAAATTGACTTTCATATTGTCAATAAGAGATCGTGTTTAGTCGTCTAATCATCTAAGTAAGGAATAAAAACGAACACAGGTTCCCGTCCTAGTGGCTCTATACTAGATCTAAATCTAAATTTATTGGCTTCTAGATCTAATACGCATCCCTCTTAGCAAAAAAGTAGATCTAGATCTAGAGTGGGTCACGTCCATACAGAGGCATATATATATAAAAGCAATCAAAACCACACATTCTGAAAAAAGTTATATTTGATCAAGATAAATATTCCCCCACCGCCCCCAGCATTCGTTTTCAGTCAATCGAAATTAACAAGCAGACGAACAAGCATGTTACATGAATGGACGATCTAGATTAGATCTGTAGATAGATGCTACGCTACTGGGCCTAGATATCAAGATATATCTTTAAAAAATCAAAATTTTTTTGTTTGGGAATGAACATTCCTCTTGTGTGCTTTGATATGCAAAGTCTGGTAACCTGTTTTTTTAATAACTTTACTACCTCATCTTCTGAACTAGCAGTAGAACTAGCAGATTGTTCTTTCTTGTCTTGCTCCAATTTGTCTATGGCAGATCGCATCAACTCGTCCATATTCATGTTTCTCTTTTCTGTAGTAGGCCTAGGCTAGGCTAGTCTAAACTTCGATCATCACACACTGCACCAAGCTGGACACAGGACGCCACGTTGTCTAAAAATATCAACGGAAAACACAATTTTAAGGCTCAATGTCACTAGGGATGTGGCTGACGATTAGGGATGCGGCTGCGGGTTGGTTGACGAATGTGAAATGCGCGGCGCTGATAAATCGAGCTCTAAAACGCCTATAAACGACTTTTGAAAGTCCGCGAGAGCTTCACTTGTTACATTCATTCTTAGCTTAAAAAACAACAACCAAACTATACAATTTTAATACAATATAATTGCGGTGCGAGTGTAGTATTGATGTTACCCTGATATGTTCCTTATACTTTCATATTCAGCTCTTCGCAAAGTATGCGTTTTTGGGTTTGTTTGTCGAGTATGGTTGCCAGGACTTTTCTGCCGGTGAAGAGGAACTTGAATTTCAATGGCAGAGCGACGCAGAAGCATTTCATAATTGTGATATAAACGGTGAAAAGGGCCGATAATTTGTGAACCACATTGAAGCTTGTAGTCACTACGAAAGATGTGGTTAAGTGAGCCACTGAACTTATGTTCAATGTTTTGACTTTTGTCAGCATCACCAGCACCAAATAAAAGAGAACCGTGAGTAAATCAGACAGAGTCAGTGCGAAAAGAGTCATTGACGTAGGATTCTCGGATATACCTAGACGTCGAAATATCTCCAGATTGCAGAGATTTGAAACAACTCCAAAGACGGCAAAACTCAGATTTGTCAATTCGATAAGTTCAGCCACCAGTTCATAGCTGTCACCCAGGAAGAAGAGGTCTAGTGCTGAAAAAGGAGGACTTGTTGTAGTGCAGTTTGGTGCACACGCGGGTGAATCTTGAGTGGATGCCATTTTCTGACGACTATGATTTTGAAATGTAAGAAATTCTGAGCTTGATTGTGATATCTGGGGGTTTTATTTCCAGAGTGACGAAGAGATTGTACTGTTTCTTCTTGAGAGGCGTTTACTACTATTGCAAACTGACTAGCAAGCTTAGTAATATACAGCCATAAATAGGCAATTAAAATTCCAAATTAAGCCCAAAAAAGAAAAGTTTCAGAAATTCAGACACGTTCCTGATCAATCCCAATCACAGATGTTTCTTAAAAAACAAATGAGTGAAACTACCCATTCCGTTACAAGTTTGTCTCATCAGAAAAGTAAGAAGATTGACATTGTTAACTGTAATTGAGTAAGCCTATGAAGCTACTGATACTGTCATAAGCTCCGGAAACGTGAAAAGCACAAAGAGCGAGCCTTCTTCAAATTAAAATAATCATCATGATTACTGTTATTATCATTATAAGTATCTTGCCAGTGCTTGAAGACTATATAAGAATTTTGTGTTTGGCAGTGGATCGGTTCTTGACATATTATGGAGAGATATTATAGTAATCACCGTGTGCTGACATCACTTTTTATTTGCACCAATTTCTGCTTGCTGTTGAAGAGGTCTTTGTGGTCACAGATCATAATCCACCTGAGAAATGGTTTCAATTAGACGTGAATATAGTTTTTATATTCTCGTTATAATTGAATATAATTTTTCACATCAAAGACACCCAGTTCGTAGTCTTTCAGTTGTTTTCATTTCAACATAGTAATTTAAATCAAAGCTATTTTTCTTGCAAACGTGTTCAAAATTTCGATCTTCGAAGTTACAACCTGTGTTATGACATGTGATGCATTATATTCCTTTATGCTCTTGCATTATGTATTGTGTTCTAGGATATTGTCGTAACCCCATAAGAATTTGCCCAATTACTGAAACGCTCTCTGACTACTCGCAGGTCGTGGTTACAGGTGGGTTTTTTTGTTGGTCGAGCCTACTTCTTTCCCTGCCCTCTGCTATTGCTATTTTTCTCTTTGCTTTTTTTTTCCTCACGTCAAATTGTCATTGTTGTGTCAATGTGCTTCTCTTTGCTCGAACAAGTGGCTGACCGATTCTCTGTGTGTCTCGGTGGATGGTTGACAGGCGCTCTGCTGTGGTTTGTTCCTTCTTTCCTATCAAACATATATATCGTCCTTATCTCTCCTCCTTCTTATCTTTGTATGTTTCTCTCTTACGACACTTCACACGACTCTTATGACCTTCTTGTGTTGCAAGTGCCGTAAAATTCTTGCTGAAACAAATATCAGTCTGTCTCTACCTCTGTTCTGGGTCTTTCACACAAACGCGTGCGCTCACT